TGCACAAAATATTCCAACACATATATGTTTACAGACAACGAAAGCGGAAATTTTATTGCAAGATATCAATCCAAACCGCGGACGTTTCGTCACCCCAGTCTCTAGTTCATAGCAGCCAAAATGTGGAGTCTACCAGCCGATGAAAACACTTTGAACAAAGCCACGTTCATAAGCTCTCCGTTTTGTTCATACTCATCGAGATATCACCGAAAAAATGAACTAAATAATTACCTCTTGAGTGTCGAAGTTGAAGGCAAAGTCTCGGTACTGATGGGACTCGCTTCTGCCTCGGCAAAGTATCATCACAAAGAGGAGTCTTCGATAAAGCGAGAGGTGTTTTCTTTATCCTTGTCAGTTTATGCAAGAAAAGGTTATCTTGTTCCTGAAGCTCATACGAAGATCTCAGACCAAGGCGGAGTAGATTTCGATGTTGAAGCGAGGGAAATTGGCATGGAAGATATCCTAATTGTCACTTCAGAACACGAGAGGTAAGCAAGATGGGGGACGAAAACTGAAATATATTATATTCGATTCTCTCGCTCTTAGCAGCCTTTCGTTTTAGTTTAATTAAAAGTCTTGTTTCAATAAATCTTTCCCATAACATGAGTGAGCTTAAGCGTAAGTTCTTTGACTTCCAACATGAGAGACGGCGCTCTTCTCAGTGTCCGTAGAGCCGCGTGCTGCTTGCTTCTGCAAACTAATTATAAACAGACCTGGCACACAGGTTTCCGTACTGGGTGTGGAATTAAATGAAATAACGGGAAACCTTAAAGCTTATTGTTTTCTTTCCGATGCCATTGTACAATACTCAAACGCCTGCATTGAAAGACGTCAATAAATTATGAGGTGACCTGCAAAGAAAACAGAACGAAACAGGGTTGGAGCAACTCACTGTAAACTGTATAGTTTATTGAATTTAAAGTTTATTGTCATCCAAATATACAACACTGTTTTGAAGATTGATGACAGGAAACTAATTACCTGTAGAAACCTGTACATATTATTTTAACTACAGTTAACTGATATTGAAACTTTTCTTGTTCAAATTGTAGAGAAGACAAGAAAACAGAGGATACAGTGGAGGTCAAAGTAACAGTACTCTTCTTTTCTATCTCCGCAAAGTTGGAACATATTCACGAGAGTTCGGAGGTCAAAGGATTTGTTAGGATTGATCATTATTCATCTCAAACCAGAAACTGGACGAAGTGGGAATTTGACGCTGATTCATTTGAAGAAGCAATGACCGAAGTTAAAAAGCTTGACACACATATGTATAATATTCCAAACATTGTTAATCGTATGCCTCACACAAAGCTCTTTGCCCTCCGCATACTGGTCACGCCAAATGCTGGAGACACGTTTAAGGTAGCTGTGTACCTTGAACTGGAAAACATGTTAAAAGAACTTCAAGTAATGTCTGTAGCATCGTCCAAGTGCCGTATTGATTTCGAAGTTGACAAAATCAAACGGTCACTTAAAGACTTAAAAGGCTCTGGGATGGAAAAATATTTCTTGGAAAGGCTAGATCAAATAAGGTAAAGTAAATCTACAGCCTGAGTTAACTATATTCTGTCTAATCATTCATCAAGAACTCGGAGAAAATAAAACATTCAAATTAAACTATATTATTGTACTAGTGTACTCAAATAAAGGAAGGCATAGATATGAAACAAATCAACGCCTAACAAATATACGAGGAAATACAAGAAAAATAAGGCAGATTACGAGTTATCTTGTACGCTTTAAATGATATTGTTACTTTTCTCTAAGAATTCTTCAGCTAATAGATGCGGAGAAGAAGACAGGAAATATTGATAGTGGTTTCTGTAAAATTGACGATCAAAACGGCTATCTAGCTGTGGTCGAAGTCGCAAGAATTTCCATAGAAAAAGATATTGGATATGAAAGCTGATAACTGATGAAAACAAACTTTGCTGCAGTTTTTAAAAGTGTTAGAAACTCCCTGACCGTGCACAAGTTTTGGTTTTAGTTCACATATTTTTCTAAATTTTCACCATTAACAACAGCCGAGACATCAGCATTTTAAAAGATGTAGCACTAGCAAAATGAATTTTGCATGAAGTTATTCATAGATAGGTGTCCCCCACCGCCATAACGGCCTTCCCTTACAGGCTTCTAGGCTTAAACACAAGCAGTCAGTAATGAATCATTTTGTACGCTTTTGTTGATACTGCCTTCTTCTCCTTACGAGTTTCTAAGCTAATCGATGAAAATAAAAGACGGTAAATATTGTTGGTTTTCACATGACGTCACTAAAATTCAGATTAAAAAACTATCGATCCCACCGAGATTTTACTTTCACTATGCATTAGAGTCGCTGAAAACTAATTTTCATGCAAATTTTCTCTTCAAAAGGGTTTTTGGTTTTGTGATACAGTACGCTTGAATTTCTAAGATTTTGCGCCACGCGGCATTTACATGATGGCCAAGTGAGCTGTCATGTAGGTCAAAAAAGTGACTTATTTCAGGAGATTTTGCAATCTAAACAGTTCATGTAATTAGAAAAAGTATTTTTTTAATGTTTATGAGTTTCTCGAAGAATAAATTCACGCTTTTGTAGCAAAACTCGATAACAGATGTTTCTGTTGGTTTCCGTCCGCCACGTTGGAGCTCATCCAGGTGAGCTCCAGCATGGCGTCTCCATACAAATCTCTATAAGTTTGGGTAAAAAATTTCTTCTGATATCTCGTATAAGAAATATTCCTCTGACCTGAATCTTGGCGAGGGTCTTTTTATATGTATCTTCTTTCATTTCCTAGATTCTGGACTTTATCTATTGAACGGTTTTGATTTTTATTTCGATCTATTTTGAATGGCGTGACACTGAAAACCAGCAATAATAATGGAATCGATAAAGGATATGTTTATCCACAACATAACTAGAGGGCTAGAATAAAACTGCTCTAAAACAGGCGGAAAAAACCTTTGCATATTTTTCACGAGTCCGTTTATGGGTGGCCCATGGGCTAATTCTTGCCGAGGTTTTTTTTATATAGCTTCTTTTATGGACACTAACCATTAACTAAATTTGCACCAAAAAATAAAGCTACTTGATCCAAATTTATTGCGCGGCATGCGTGTGGGTAGGTACACGGAAAATCGAAGTTAAAACATCTTAGTCATTCTTAGTGGACAATTAAGCCACTGGGTGATGACTTTAATTACCTCCAATCAAGACTGTTTTGACCGCGTGACAATTAACAGAGGCCACAATTTTTTTTTAAAAGTCGGTGTCTTTTTATCCTTTGTTCAAGAACTGAAACATTTTGAAAACAAATGAAAGCACTTGTTCCAGTAGAGCTAACGTTCGTCTTCCTGTATTTCCGGACTGTTGGTTGACCTCGCTAGCTGTCAGGAAGCCGTGTTAATTCACATCGAATATTGTGCAAAGGAATGCAGACCAAAGTTTTAGCACACTGGGCGTCTCTATAAAATCATTGACCAATGCTGATCGATCTAACAGCAAAGAGACGAAAATATGTTGCCTCGCTAAAACGCAAAACGAAAATATTGATACAAATTTTGAGAAGAAACATTGTGATCTAAATAAAATCTGCTTGAAAACTGGAAAATTCAAGAAAATTTCTACGCAAATACCTTATTTTTAAAATGAATTTTGTTGTATAGACAGACCTTTAATGCGCATCTTAAAAATGGTAAGATAAATTATGAACTGCATGTCACCTAACTTTTATTCAAGAATTGAGACAGTTCGTGACTAAATCTAGCCTGTGTGAAGGCGCATAAGACGAAACGTTTACAAGAAGACTTCCTATTGTTATGCTTTAACAAACCATGGTTGTCCTAGTAAACCTTTCTTGACATTGAATTTTAAATCCTGCCAGTTCATTGTAGGGCCAGAATTTTTCTTGAAAATGGGCTTTTGAGCATTTCCATCAGAAGCTATTTCATGTTGACTTATCTGATTTTATCTTAGTTGGGCTAAAAAGGTTCTTGAATACAGGGGTTCTGATGCAAATTTCAGCCTAACAGGTTCTTAACGTTGGTTCTTACTCGTGGGGTACTAGTACAATTTTTCGGAAATCCAAAAACATATGTAGCTGAACCAACAAGAAACTCTGTTCCATTCATATAATTATGAACACAAACTACAGGTGTTGATTGTATTGTACAATATATAGTATACGATATATAACAATTAACTGTATACTAAAAACCTTACTGGAGAGAGTAGAAAATATTACATTGGGCGGGGACGTCTGATTGAAGAAATGAGATATTTCAATCCCAAACTGAGAAAACTGTTGTTGCAGCCATAATCGAAAGTCTACATAAAAGGGCGGTGGGTCTTATTAATAAGCCCAGTCAGTTATCTTATTCATCTTAACAGTCTGCCTCTGGTCATTAACGCCACATACATAGGCCACTAAAAAGCGAACAGAAAAATATGAAGTATACTTAGTAATCCTTTGTTCAATAGCTGAGATATTTAGTCATGATCTGAAAATTTATAAAAGTGCTTGTTCTCATGGAAGGAAAGCTTCGTCTTCCTGTTTTGACACCTGAGTGTACACAAAATATCCAAACACACATCAATTTACAGTCAGCGAAAGCGGAAATTTCATTGCAAAATATCGATCCAAACCGCAGATATCTCGTCACCCCAGTCTCTAGCTAAAAGCAGCCAAAATGTGGAGTCTACTAGCCGATGTAAACACTTTAGAAAAAGCCAAGTTCATAAGCTCTCCGTTTTGCTCATACTCATCGAGATGGCACCGAAAAAAATGAACTAAACAACTACCTCTTAAGCTGGGAAGTTGAAGGCATAAGTCTCGGTTTTAAAAGATCTCGCTTCTGCCTCGGCAAAATATCATCACAAAGAGGAGTCTTCGAAAAAGCGAGAAGTGTTTTCTCTATCCACGTCAGTTTATCCTAGGAAAGGTTATCTTGTTCCTGAAGCACACACGAAGATCTCTGACAAAGGAGTAGATTTTTTTGTTGAAGCGAGGAAAATTGGCATGGAAGATATCTTAATTGTCACTTCAGAACACGAGAGGTAAGCAAGTCGATTGACAAAAACTGCTCTTGGCAGCCAGTTTATGAGCGAGCTTAAGCGTAAGTTCTTTGACTTCCATTATGACAGCGTGCCCTTCTCATTGTCCCATGGTAGAGAGTTTTTTCCGCTTGCTGCTCCAAACTAAACAGACTCGACACAGAGGTATCTGTACTGGATGTGGAATTAAATCAAATAACCGGACATCTTGGAGCTCAATTAAGTCTACAGTGAAAGACGTCAATAAATTATGAGGTGACCTGCGAAGAAAACAGAACGAAACAGGGTTGGAGCAACTCACTGTAAACTGTAAAGTTTATTGAAATTCGTCTTGTCCACTGATAAGCATATCATCCGAATATACACCTTTTCGAAGATGTATGACAAGAAACTACTAATCTCTAGAAACCTGTACATATTTTAACTACAATTAACTGATATTGAAATTTATCTTGTTCAAATTGTAGACAAGACAAGAAAACAGAGCATAAAGTCCAGATTGAAGTAAGAGTACTCTTCTTTTCTACCTCCGCAAAGTTGGAACATATTCACAAGAGTGAAGAAGTAAAAGGATTTGTTAGGATTGACCATTGTTCATCTCAAACCAGGAGGTGGAATAAGTGGGAATTAAACGCTGATTCATTTGAACAAGCTATGGCTGAAGATAAAAAACTTGAGGCGCATATGTATAAGATTCCATACATTGTTAATCGTATGCCTTACACAAAGCTCTTTGCCCTTCGCATAGTGGTCACTCCAAATGTTGGAGACGCGTTTAAGGTAGCTCTGTGCCTTGAACTGGAAAAGATGTTAAACGAACTCCAAGTAATGTATGTTGCGTCTTCCAAATGCCGTATTGATTTCGAAGTTGACAAATTCAAACAGTCATTGAAAGACTTAAAAGACTCTGCGATGGAAAAATCTTTCTTGAAAAGGCTAGACGAAATATATAAGACAAAGTAAATCTGGAGCCTGAGTTAACCATATTCCGTCTAATCATCCATCAAGAGGAGAAAAATATATATATTCAAATTAAACGATTGTGTTACTGGTGTACTCAAATAAAAGCAAGGCGTAGGTATTAGAAATCAACGTCTTACAACATAAAATATACCAGAAAATACAAGAAAAATAAGACAGGAAAAGACGTGACATTAGAGAGTTAAGAATGTTTTTTTGTTTAAGGAAAACATGTGAGTTTTCTTGTACGCTTTAAATGATATTGTTTGTACGTTTTTCTAAGACTTTCTTAGCTAATAGATGCGGAGAAGAAGACGAGAAATATAATGGTTTCTAATTCTTTGACGATCAGTACATGAAAACTGTCATTTAGCTAAGACCGAAGTCGCACGAATTTCGATAGCAAAAGATATATTGGCTATGAAAGCTGAAAGCGGCAAAATAAAACTGATGAAAACAACCTTTGCTGCGGTTTGAAAAGTGTTAGATGCTCCCTGAACGTGCACAAGTTTTGTTTTTAGTTCACAAATTGTGACTGAATTGAATAAATGGGACGTTTTACTGGTCAGTAAGTAAGTTCAGAATAATAGGAATGCTACGTTTCGTTAAGCACGGCAATTAAGTCCAAAGCTGTTAAGAAGTTTGTCGAACTTCATAACCAGGTTGATGAGTTTAGTCAAACACGTAGCCTGCGTATTGTAGCAGTACAGGCCGCGCGAGGGGAACATGCGTGTGTGTCCTCGGTATTTCTCCTTTTCGCCCTAACAGGCTATCAAACACGGAAAATAAAAAAAAGCAATATCAACCTTATTTGGAGTTAAGCTTAATCAAACATCTTACTTATTCTTAACAATTTGCTTTTGGGTGTTGACTTAAAAGGGTATTTTGACCGTGTGACAGCATTACAATGAAGGCCAAAGGCGGAAAGATTTGAAGTCGCTATATTTGTTATCAGTTTTTAAGAAATTGAACCATTTCATTAAGATCTGAAGAACACCACTTCTGATAAAGCCTAGTTCGTCTTTAGTCCTGTTTCGATACCTAAGTAACCTTGTTTAAACCTCTGCGCACATGGAGTTTGATTAGTTTTCTAAGGTATGCAGGCCATAATTTTAGGAAATGATCGCTTTTCCCTTACCTATCAAACAAAAATTAAAGAATCGAAAATATTGTGTACGCCTCGCTTAAACTAAGAAGTCGTGTGCTCGATGCAAATATATGCCAAGCGAAATACCATTTATGAGATAAAATTTTTGTACACCAGTGATCCTCTCTACCACTGATTCCTTACTTTAGTAACTGTTCATCTTACTGTATAAGCCCCCGCAGAAACATTGGGAGGGATGGGGGTGCTCTATCCATTGAGCTAATGAAGGCTTATGTAAAGCGAAGCCTTTTACCAGTTTCATACTCGACAAGCGTCCTGTAAACTGCTACGATCGAAAGCGATTTGTGTGGTGGAATTATGAGGAAAGATAAGGTACATATACTTGGAGGATGGTTATGAAATGAGAAAGATGTTAAAGGGGGTAATATGTTAGTCACGTCATAGGCGCCATTGGACATCGCTGGAAATAGAGTCGTCTCGCTTACGTCAGGGGTGTTTGGTGGCTTCCTTGACGATTAAATTTATACTGCAATTAAGCTTGGCCGTTAAGTTGCAAGAACAACGCTTATGAATTTCTGATCATGACGAGTCTTGATATTACAGGCCTTTAACTCAATGATTGTAAAACTAAAGTGTGCACAATCATGATAACACTGTAATTGGTCAAATTTCCGCTCATTACGGAAACTACCTCAAACTTTTATAAAGGCAATATCAGTAATTAATGTATTTGGAACAAGCCTAGACAAACATCAATTTTTTTAATTTAAGCTATCGGGTGTTGACGTAAACTGTACTACATCTAAGAGTATTTGTTCGGTTAAAAAAGCCGCAACAAAAGCCGATTAAAAGCAAGCGGAAAAATATGAAGTGCGCATTTCTTTTAATCTTTTGTTTTAGAACTGGGGGTGGGAAAGACCTGAAAGCAGCTGTTCCTATAGAACCAACGCAAGGTCTTCCTGTTTTTGCCACCTTAGCTTAAACCTTACAAGGCTATCCGCAAACCTTTAGATTCACATCGAATGTCTGAAACAAATTTCACTGAGGAGTTTATAAACGAAGTACTCTTGATCAATATGTCAGTCAGCTACCAGTGTCCGCCTCTAAGTAATCAAGAATGTTTATCACGCTACATTAAAGGTTACTCAAAAGAAAGCGGAATAATATAAAGTGCTTCGCGTTGACCTTTGTTTAAGAATTCAGATATTTCGTGTTTGATCCGAAAGTACTTACATTAACTGAACCATAGCCACAACAGAATACAAATTACGAAACAGGTTGATATATTGAATACACTTTGTCCTTTCCAAACAGTCCCAACAAGGTACTGAAGGCAACCGCTTGTTGTTTATTTCAAGCCAGGTTAAAGACAAACGCGTTTTCGGGTGAGTTTCTTTTTTTCATACGGGCCATCTTCATATACCTTCCCTTATTTATTTTAACGTTTTATTTGTGCTTCTCAAGAAAGTTGCAAAATTAATACATTTTGTTTCAAATCTTACGTAAGATTGTAAATATTTCTCTACTGAAACTTTCTCAAGTATTACACCCGGTTCCTAGCTCTCGACAATAAGAGCAGGCAAGACTGATTTCGTTTTGAGAAATTACCGAAATGGCCTTTAATAGCGATTTTTGGCCACATGTTTTCACGCAAAATACCAATTACTACTCTTATAGTACTGTGCAAAAGAAATGCAAACGAAATTCGGTGATTTTCGTTCTTTGTTCTCGCGAAAATTCGACGAAATTTCGCCACGAAATTTCGTCAAAGCGCTAAGTGCCAGCCCTATTTTTTTTGTTTTTGTTTTTCTTTCATTTTTATTGGCTACAGAAGTACATGTATTTTATTTTAAAACTACGCGAAATTAAGAATCAATTTGAATTTTCTACAAGACTTTCGCTATGGAGCCTACTCTCTTGCATGACGTTTAGCGTTTACGAAGTCGTTCATGTCGCCTGCCAGTAACGTAGTTGATTTATTTTATACGCCCCGCTCAAAATATCACTTTAATTTTGGGCGAAAGGATGACAATATACCACAGATATAAGAAAGTACCTTTTTTTTAGAATCCATGTACATATTTAGAGCTGTGTCGCTACAGACGAAGTAAACGGAAACACCAATAAGAGAGCTAACAGACGTCATCTCTCTCCTCCGCGCCCACCATGGGTCAGTGGTGGAGACGGCTGACTTTTCAGACTAACCTTGCCCCACAGCACTATAGCACCCGAAAGATTAGATAGATTTGTGCAAATGATCTTTGTTTCCTCAATGTCCTTATAGCCTGAAAAAATTAATAAGGTTGAATGAAAAAAATATATATCACCAGAAGAACTTCGAAAAATTTTGCGTTTTGAAAAAAAAGAAAGTGGGGGGGGGGGGGGGGGNCGTGTTCCTTAATTTTCGTTATAGGTCCTTAATCTTCACCACAGCTCTTTTGTTTCCGAGAGGCTTCCAAGAGAAGACTAAGGCGAATGGTGTGCCAAAATGGCGGCAAATTTGAACATTTCCCAAAAAAATTCTAAAAGAAATCAGGCTGTGTTCAAATCGAAAAATGGTTTCGCAGAGGTTTTCATAGTACTGTTTACTTTCGCTTATAAAAAACAAATTTTTTCAGGTTATTAAGGACACTTATACATCACAGCTTAAGCCAGCTGCCCATACTGATTCCTTAAATCAGATTATATCAATTTAATTAACCTGATTAATTAACAATGGAGTGGACTTATACAGGACTTTGTGATTTTTTTTTTCAGCAAAGAAAATGAATATTCCAGCCTACGCTGCCCCTACCTTGAGCATTGGTAGAACATATGATGCCCAGAATTCCAAAGCAAGCGGAGATATCTTCCAGAGTGATCAGATTCCAATCAAAACGATTAATACCAACCATTTCTCTTTCAAGTACTCCCTTGTGCAAAATAGCAAAGATGTCAATGATCTCCTAGACGTTTCTGGAGAACTTTCGTTAAAAATCAAGGCCAACCTTCTCAAAGTGGAAGGAGCAGGACAGTACGTAAATGAATCCAAGAAAGAAGAAGGAACAACAAGACTGCTAGCAGTGATGAAATGTACCACGGTATGTTGATGATGATGATAATAATAATAATAATAATAATAATAATAATAATAATAATAATAATAATAATAATAATAATAATAATAATAATAATAATAATAATAATAATAATATGAAGGTGCTAAGTGTATGAACACAATGATTGACTTCTGAGTGACTGATGCTCGAGGTGCATGGTTTGCGCCCGGCTGATACATAAAAAGAACACCAGCATAGACTGTGATAGAAGAGACAATATTATAATAATAAAGATGATGATGATGATGATGATGATGATGATGATGACCACGACGATGACGATGACGATAATATTGTTGATGATGGTGATGATGATGATGATGATGATGATGATGATGATGATGATGATGATGATGATGGTGATGATGATGTTGGTGATGATAATAGTCATAATACCCCAGGGATCTTCAAAATGAAGCGAAAGCCTGTTTGAAATCCAACTAGGCAAAAGCCCTCGGTAATCTGCATCGATGGGACAATGCATCTCATGAACTGAAAGGTAGTCGAGTGAACTAATCATTCCGCTAAGAAAGTTATCGTACTTAAGATGAGCTGTCCCCGGGAGTAATACCTAACGGTACTAAAAACAATGCAGAGAAGTTCTGGGTTACAGTGCGTCTTTACACAACAGGTCTCTCAAGCACGCTTAACATGTGATACAATATGGCTGTTAGGATGCCGAAGGCAACAGGCAAAATGTCCGCAAGAAATAGATAATTTCAAGTATATTTAATAGATGCCCACACGTTTAAAGTGGTCACCGGTCAGTAAGCTCAGTTCATTTTTCTGTTATGATT